TTTTTTTTAAGGTTTATCATATTCTCTACAGTAAAGTACAATATTGCTTTTAAAATAACAAAAAGCTTTTCCAACAAAAAGCCCTTCACATCGTAAGCAAAGTGAATCACCCACCGCTGCACAAGAATGTGAAAACACTCAAAACTACTGAGCTGTACAGTTAAAATGTTAATATAGTAAATTTTATTTTTTTTACCACAATTAAAGATAAAATAAAAATGAAAAAGTAGGAGTCATAGTAGACCACCAAAAAAATAAAGTGAATCATCCTCGTGTAGAGTAAAAAATTAGTTTAATTGTGGGATTGGCCAATTTATAGAACTCAGTAGAACTCAACAGTTTTACCTTTTTTTTTCCCCCCTAAGAGATGGGGTCTCTCTCTGTTGCGTAGAGTGCAGTGGCACAATTGTAGTTTACTATAACCTCGAACTCCTGGGCTCAAGCAATCCTCCTGCTTCCGCTTCGTGAGTAGCTGGGACTACAGGCGTTTGCCACCATGGCTGGCTAATGTTTTATTATTTTTTGCAGAGAAGGAGTTTTGCTACGTTACCCAAGCTGGTCTTGAACTCCTGGCTTCAAGTGATCCTCCCTTTTGGGCCTCCCGAAGTGTTGGAATTACAGGCGTAATCCACCATGCCCAGCCTCAAATTGTTTCTTACACTATGTGAATATTGCATTCATAGTTTGATAATCTACATTCACATTTTAGATATTTGGTACTGTTGTACCCTAGCATTCATTTTTCTTTCCAAAATCGTTATTAGGAAAAACTTATAGGAAAATTCTAAAATGATTTCTCCAAAAGGCTTTCGAAATTTTGTTTCAGACCACTCTTCCTGACCACATGGAGTGTGTACCCTGGCTAACAAGTTTGCACAGCCAGGTGGTGGCGCATGTCTGTAATACTCTGAAGGCTGAGGTGGGAAGATCCATTGAGCCCAGGAGTTTGAGACCAGCCTGCGTAACACAGCGAGACCCTGTTTCAAATATTAATAATAGTAATACTGAAAAATAAAAAAAACCAAAAAAACAAACACCTTGTACAATCCCTGCTGGATAACGCAGGACAATTCCTACTGATAGCAGGACCTACCTTTCCCTGTTCATTCACTCACACTGCATTTATTCACCATCTGTATTGTAAATAAGTTCCATGTTAATAATCACTGCTACCTGAGGATATGTTAAAACCATTGAACTTATGCTCAGATTGGTGTAACTACTGCCCAAATGGCTTTTCATCCATTTATTTAATGTAGCAATCACGTAAATCAAGAAAAACCTCCAAAACCCATTATAAATGCCAACGTTACATGTTTTATTTTTAATCAAGTAATTTTTTTAAGCCTCAACATATCCATAATTGACAGAATAAGACAATAGGCATGAAATGAGAATATTAAATCCATGGTCTGCAGAAAGGCAAACAGTGTTTTAGTCCATCAAGATGACCACACACAAGGGAAATGCCATTCCAAACATCTACTTTTTTGACCTTTAAAAACATACAGTTCAAGTGTTATTTCCACTGTAAACAACATGAGTCAAAATGGACAATGAGGTAATCTAAATACTACACAGGATAATTTAAAAACCCTAGATAAAACACCGTATTAAAGACATATAAAAATCAGGGTTCACTTTGGTCTCTAGAATGTTTAGAGTTGTTAACACCAAAAAGCAACACATGCTAATTAAAGCCAGCTTGGTGGTAGGTGCCAGTGGTTGATAGATGTAAGTGATTCAAGAGGTAGTCAACACCATCATTTTCAAGCTGGTAACTCTCACAAGTGTTAAGCCACAGATGTATTAAATATCGTAATACTTTCTCACAGTACAGTACTTTACCATAACTTGCAGCTTTGTTCCAAATATAAAATTTAAAAATGAATTATGTTAACCTTTCACTCTAATTGAACAACTATGACACAGATCACATAACCACCACATCTTAGGCTGTTGATAGTTATGTAAGACAGAATTTGATGCTTTCAACAAGTTGTTCTTCTCTAAAACAAATAAATCTCATTAAGACATCTAGAAAATTAAAGTCAGTGCAGCTGCACTTGTACATACTTTCCCAAATTTTATAACCAAAGGGGAAATACACATATATATTTTATGATAAACATTTCTTAGAGAAAACAGATAAATTAATTTAAATTAATTTTAAGACTTAATGAGATTCCCCATGTCCTGTATAATTCATCTTACAGTGAATGTTACAAAGTCTATTAACACTTATGGGCTTCTATTCACAAACTAAATACAACCAGCAGTAACTTGGGGCCACACTGGTGCAAAATAAAACTGAGCCAGAATTCAAAAAAAATATCGGCAATAAAAGCATTCTATGTTTGGTGGTGGAACGATGCTAATAACATGACATTTCTTGATCTTTTTTTGTTACATTGCACACTAAACTTCCAAGTTATAAGCAGGTAAAAATCTTTCTAAATCTTTCAATTGTAAAAATACATCCAAATGCAAGTATAAAAATGTTTCCACTATAATCTGCCATGTAGCAAATGAATAGCTCATAGGGCTAAGAGACTGGTAGGGCATCTTTTTTTAGGAATTACATTTCTGTTGACGGGAAGGTGAGGTTGGTTCAGAGACAACTTAATTCACAGACCTGCTGCCCCACCATTAGTAAACCCTGCAAACTGATGCTTTACACAGACTCTTTTTCCTCAGTAGCTAGGCATGGCATTGCATGTTCACTCCTTGGCAAGCCAGTGCTAGTTAGTTATGTGCCTGGGGCTATGACGTTGCAATATGCTCGGCTTCAGGGCAACACACACGTAAATGAAGGAGATTGGCATCTTTTAAACTGTTTGCCCAGCACGAATACACAAATACACTCATACATGGACCCGTCTTCCTGCTACCCCTTTCCACCCCCCACCTCTGGGCAAAGCACATATTTCTAAGATTGCTTCTGCATTCTGTTTTGCTTAAGTTGAAGAGTGCCCATAATTCTTTAAGCTAAATACATGATCATTTTAAGGAAATGCTTGGGGACTTTGCTAACTAAAACGAGATGCTTCATTATTCACAAGTGTTTGTCAGAAACATGCAGTTGTGAATTGCTATCTATAATACAGATAAAAAGGTTCTGTACCAGAGAATTATCAGCCACCTGTAAGGCTAGAACAGCATACAGGTGTGCTGTGCATCAACTATGAGGTAGCCTTTTGCTGTAAACAGAATAATATTTCACCCATGTAAATGGACAATGTGCTCACATCAGTGATATTCACATATGCAAGGAGTGGAGGAATCCTGCTTTAGAGGATTTCTCACATGAAATAAAAATAGGAGAACTGATATCTGATATTTAGAAATTTTGATCTACGTCAAACTCAGAGGTAGTTACTAACATCAGTACATACTACTTACATAAAGGTTTAAGTTATTTGGTTTCTTTTGAGTAAGCAGGACTGTAGACTAGTCTGTAAAGAAACAACAACAACATTATATGGTATGTTCCCTGAGCAAAGTTCTTTGTCCTGAGTATGTATGTAATAGTGATAATATTCTCATATAAAAAATAAACCCCAACTTTTAACCATAAGATAGGTTTGGTATGTGCTCTTAGTAGTTCAGTCTAGTAAGATGTTGAAAAGGATTTCAAATTGCACCCATAAGGTCCACAGTTCAAAAGTGTTTCTGTGTTTTTTACCATGATCTCAGCTAAGAATTTTTATATGTAAACAGGGAATGTCCAATTTTCAAGTCCATAATTTCCTATTTCTATAAGGTCAAGGAACTTTGGTTTGAATTTTCAAAGTGACTTATCATGTTTTGCATTTTTACTGTTAATCTGCTTATTATACCTGCTAACAATTAAGCAATGCCACTTTGATTTGTCAACATAATTTAAATAAGCTTGAAATCCTCACATAAGGCAAGGAAGTACTGCTCTACAGCTATATCACATTCAATATCGTCAAAGGTAAGCTTTGCATCATAGCACAACGATATTTCAGTATATACCACAGAGATTCTCACAAACACTGTCATGAAATTCAAGCTGAGTTGTAAAGGACTGGTAACCCAACCGGAGGCATTTTCTTCTTAGGGTGGCTTGCTGAAACAGTAACTTACGAGTCTCCCACGACACAGGACAGGACAAGTGGGAGAAGGAGCAAAAGCTGTTCAGCAAAATACGTCTCATTTGAGTCATGCTATTTTCTTTTTATGATTATCTGAGCTTACACCAACAGGCCCATACAAAACTATATTTATTGCCAATATTAAGCATCATAATTACTTGGTACCTTCTTGAAGATGTTTCAGAAATTTGCCCATAATACCTAGAACCAGGATGACCCCAAAATAATTTTTTTTTAATGACTGAAACCTAAAGGGACCAACGCTATGACTGGTCCCTAGCCAGTTTATTCCTGTAACTGAGAACCAACCTGAGAAGATTCTCTATCCCCAGAACTGACTGCTCATCCTGATTCTACCAGATAGGTTACTCCAGCATAAGCGCTGAACATAACTTCCTTATGATCAATTTATCATATAAAATACTTGTAGCTACCTGTGGAGAGGTTTTGGTACCTCTGCCCCAGGCTTGTCACTCTAGTTGCCTGACACCAAACACTGCACTTTCTAAATATCATTCACAGGTCACACATATTGGCCAATTGTGAGCATTCACTTAATTTTCACTCTCAACCTGCCTTTTATTCATTTCTGTGCTGCTTTTGTTTGTTTGTTTTAGAAACAAGTTGAGTAACTCCCCAGGGGGAATAAAAACAGCCACCAAAAATACATGCCAAACGATTGGAGTTTTCCCCTAAGGTCTTCAGTAGTAAATAAGGAGGGCTCCCTGCTCTAAGCGATGGTTACAGGACTGACTTAGTTGAGGGAAGGTGCCGTTGCCACAATCCCTCAAAAACCTCACAGCAAGAAAAAGATTACAATGAGCTGGTATCAAAATACCAGGGAAAACAATCAAGTCACTACCTTTATACATTACCCCTCCCCTTCATTTCTCTTAATAGGCATCTAATTTACAATCAAAACATAGAATTAAAAACATTGAAATTTCGGCACAGATATTACACATTCATTGTCTTTTCTGGAGTTATGAATCCCAGAATCAAAAAAGCTTATGGCAGTCAGAGGCATATGGAGTTAAGGTACTGCCTTCAAACAGGAAAAAAATAAAATAAAATAATACCACTCCGTAGATATCAAGAAAAAGAAGCAATCCCAAACTTGGGAGAACTAGATGCTTTAAAAACCTTTAGTACCATATGATTGGCAGCTCTGAGATCTGAAGTATCCTTTGGTTCACACAAAAAATAACAGTCATGTTTTTATTTTTATGTAATATAAAAGAAGTGGTATTTAAGAAAACTGCAGGGGTTATTTTTGAAAACACCTAAAATACTTCCCATGGGCTTTCAATTCTTGGAAATGTCCAATTATGCGAGGGAGGGTGTGTGCTTGTATCTATATACACACATATATAAAGACAAACCCTCTTTATATATATGTCTACATTCCTGTATAAAAATCCTCATATACACGCACACGGATTCAGGCTCTCTCCCTCTCACACAAGCACATATTGATATACATAGTATCTCATTCTCTGAATAACATAAAACATGACACCCTGATCAAATGTAATTTGCTTAGAGTGATTTGTCTGTTTAAAAAATTCACAGTTCCTCAACAGTAGTTAAAATCCCAGGTCAGCTGCTGTTTGTGAAATACTGTTCCCCTGTACTTGCATGAGGTAGACTTCCCAACCGGGTAAAGAAAGCGATACATTGAGAAGAAGTGTTATGTCTTTTTCCTTTTTTGGACTGAAGGCCCCTTTTTGCTTTGCTCTTCTGGTGCTGCAGACGACTTGGAGGAGGAAGCTTCTTGAGGTGACCTGCCTGACCGTTCTGAGATCTCTGCCCTAGCCTCCTGAGGAAACAGTGGTGACGCACAGCCATGCCCGCCTCCCACCTCCCGAGGGAAAGTCGAAGTGCATGGCTGGGATTCTGCTTCCTGTCTTCCCTGAGAAATGGCGGGCGGCTGTGCAACAGTTTTATGGGGGCAGTTTGCCACCATGTGCATGATGCTCTGACAGTAATGGCACTTCTTTGGCTGAGGAGGTAGACTGCATTCCTTAGCATGATGATCAAGGCCACCACAGTTGTAGCATCTGCGAGAAAGAATGATGAAAACAACTTAGAATTAGGTAGCATGTTTCATAAAACACATGATATATTTTTTAAAATACTAAAATATACAACTGTCAATGAGATCAGCTTATTTTAACGTACTTTTTATTTTTATTTATTTATTTTTTTTGAGACAGGGTCTAGCTCTGTCGCCTGGGCCAGAGTGCAGTGGTGTCATCATAGTTCACAGCAACCTCAAACTCCTGGGCTCAAGCGATCCTCCTGCCTCAGCTTCCCGAATAGCTGAGACTGTAGGTGCGTGCCATACTTGCAGCTAATTTTTCTGTTTTTGGAGAGACAGGGTCTCAGGGTGTCACTCTTGCTCAGGATGGTCTTGAACTCCTGGCCTCAAACAATCCTCCCGCCTCAGTCTCCCAAAGTGCTAGGATTACAGGCATGAACCACCCTGCCGGCCTAATGTGCCTTCTTAAAAGCATTTATTGTTATTTATATTGGTTATACCGGTTGCTTGAAAGTCTATCATCCCAAAGTGCTCTAGCAAAGTTATAAAATTAGTTGTACTAAACATAATAGCCAGTGAAAAACAAGAGTACTAAAACATGAAAGAATATTTAATCACTTCCATACAAAAATGACTCATTTAAATTTGACACGGTTCGTTTATTTTACAAGAACAGTTTAGCCCACTAGAGGGCAGCGAATATTCAACAAAAACCAACGAGCTAGTTTTAAAAACAAGCATTTAAAAATACAGCTGCTGACATGATGTGAAATAGCAGTTTACTCAGCAATTGGGAAAATTATAGACCAAATTAAATTTTATGAGGTTAACATTTTTTTGAGCATTAATTATTTTGATTATGGAAACCAGCTGAACTGGAAGAATTTTTCCATTTGTACAAAATTGAGTAGTGCACTGAAATTTGATACATAAGAAACTCAGATGTTTAGTCAGAAAGTCAGAATGATATCTGACAAATTACCAAGTAATTTTAGAGCAATACAGTGAGTGTCTGACTCGGACAGTGCTTCAGAAAAAGCAAGCTTCTAAATATTTAGATCGGATTGATAAAGATTAGTTCAGTAATAGGAAAAATTTACTTTCTTTTCTTTCTGTAAGAAATTAGTTTTCCTTTAGGGTGATTTCTCCTAAATGGAAATAAACATAAATCCACCCTTAATTAATATTTGAATGCACTCTGGGGACATGGCTTTGTACTAGATGTCTGAAAATTCAACTTATCAAGGAAAAGCTGAGCAAGGAAATTATTTGGAAGATAATTTGCTCAACTTCAATCAGATTTTCTTTCTTTTAAAATTTTGTATTAAAAACAACAAATGACTGGAAGTGGAAGAAAGTAAGAAAAATTTATATTTATAAAGGTTTTTTTATCTGATTGTCAAATACAGAACTTATTGATTTGTCTCCAAATGAAATATTTTAAGAGTTTTCTATTTTAAATTTATTTTCCAAATACATTTATGACTCCACAATTCTCATTATGAAGCACAAATAACAATAGGTCACATTGTTTTTAAAAAACAACAGCAAAATATGTGGTAACTGTGAGAAAATTAAGGCCATAATGACAACAAAAGTTAATTATAATGAATTATATTTGTATGTGTATGAGAGAATATCATGCTTAATAATTTATGCTACCTTATATTTCAAAGACAAAGTACTAATCTACTCCTAACCTGCTAAACAGTATATATGGGATACTTACTATTTTATCTTCTGGGATAACTTATATTCAGGGTAACTACTGCCTGCTTATCAATATTGCCTTATAGTTTTTATAACAATGAATTCACAAGATGGGCTTTTATTCTTTACTATAATTAGTAAGTATTTATCTTAGGATAGACTGGATTATATTTTCAAAAATTAAACAGAAAACCTAAGAAATCATGTGTTCTAATTGAATTATTTATTGTACAATTAAATATCTTAATATAACAAAACATTACAATGTACATTCAATATTGTTTCACTCATATGTTCTAAGAGATAGTGCAAAATTAAATAACAATAGAAATTACTAACGCTTGAAATTCATGTCCTCAAAATAACACACTCAAAAATGGCATCTTTGAAAAATATAACCACATTACTTATAATAATGTTTTCCTACATAGTTTTCCTCTATAATGGATAAGTGAATTCTTAAATTAAATTTGCCCATCTATAAAACATCTTCTTTTGAATTAAATTCACTTCCTTGAGGATAACATCCACTCAGGAGCTCATTTTCGGAGAGAGAGAAAATAGGTTAAAGGCTTCAGTAATAGAGCCGGCTCTCCCTCGGACACATCAATTTCATCAGTCACTGGTGTGTGCTGCGTTATCCAATTCAGGGAACCATTTTGCCCACTCATTGACCAAAGACCTGATATCAGGATTCTACTTTCACAAAAGGGATCTTTGATCACATTCTATATGTGCATTTACCATCACATTTGGGTTATAAAAGTTATTTTTAAGGATGCTATATAATTTTGGTTTGGTTTCCTTGCATTTTGATCTGCATAATTTATCTCTCCCCTATGCTGCTTTTCCGATATGTGCTATCATTAGGCAAGACTACCTTCCATGCTGAAAAGATTTGCATTCAGTGTATATGTGCTTAGCCTTAAAAGGAGGAGGAGCGATATTTATTCTCTTCTTCTATTTAATCATTCAATGTCAATCACTCTTACAAAGAGTGCAGATCACATCCCATTATGAAACCCCTTCCTTCCCAAGGGACTGACAGCAAAATGGAAATGCTCAGCTACCTTTCAGCTCGCAAATGATACCACAACCACAAACTCCATACAAGCTATACACGGCTCTAGTGCCCTTTGTTCACCCTCCACACTTCTCCAAATCAGTTTGCTTTTGTTAGTTTGAATGAATTTATGCTCACATTGTAATGTGAGCATAAAAATGGCATGTGTGCCCATGTGTGGCTACATGCTTAAGAAATATGACAGTCTCACAAGCAAGACTATATAAAGAAAACTATAATCATACTTTGTTAAGTATTCCCATAGCGCAACATAAAAATAAAATCACGTTATTTTATAAAATACTGAACCAATGGCACAAAGGATATTTTTTCACATATTAAACATAAAGATAAGATAAATAAAAATGTTCAGCTTAATCTTAGAATGTTATCAAGTTCTTCATAAAATTACTTTATAAATACTTTAATTCTAATGAGCTAGTGCATTCTACAGGTATTACTTCTTAATTAAGAAGCTTTTGAAGATGGAAGGTTGATAATCAAATTGGAGTTAATTTTTTAAGACTATTAAAATAAGATTAAAATTTTTAAATGAAAGGAAATTGTCAACAATAGATAGAAGAGAGGTACCTAAGACAGCGAAATAAATAAAAACAAATGTTTTAGGCCTTTAGAACTATTTAACTATATTCTGAAATAATTGTGTGAGTTTTTATACATCAAGACCAAATACCTATATTACTTAACAAGTTAATCAAAACACATCCAAATTTCTGAGAATTCCATAAAAAAAAATCTGAATCAGAAATCAGAATTTAGATCTGCTATGACCGTTAGAAAATTTCTCATTTTTCAGTCCAAACAACTGAATAAGCAAATTATATTTTCAAATCACACCAATAATAATGGTTAGAACTGAACTCAACTGAGGATAACTAGGTTAAAAACATAGATGTTAATTTTAAAATACTCCTCCAATGGCTTAAATGAAAAATTTATCAATTACATATTCCCCCTTGATCCCTAAAGTGATTTAAAAAAAATTAGGAAGAGGGGTGATACTACAGTTAGAGAGCCAGATTTGCCTGTCTAAAAGTGTAAAGGAAAAAAAATATAACTTAGGATGCTTCTCAGTATTTGAAAGTTTTAACTTAGTAAGAATTTATATGGAAACTTAAATCCATATTCTGAGGGTCTGATGGGGGCATTAAGGATAATGATACAGTGATTCAGAAGTTTCTCAGGAAGAAGAAAATGTTGAAAGAATAGCAAATAAAGCAGTACCAGGGAGAAAGAATAGAGCAGAAAAAGAAGTGCAACCTTTGGGCAGGAAGAAGGTACTCTTTTTCTATAGAAGGAGTACATAAAAATCCCTGGAAAAGAAAGATTAGAAAAGGATTAATAAAGTTTCTAAATGAGAGGTCAGAGGAGCTAAAGAAAAGTCACAGATTGGAAAGAATTTCAGGAACTAAACTGGAGAAAAGGTAATTGACTCTCTGAAGAAATTATTTATCATTTTCAACCTTGGTACAGTTCAACTAAAATCCAGAAATTATACTAATATAACATTCCACAACTCTATCGCTTTTGATTCTATTATGTCTGAACACTTGTTATCTAATTAGATTGTGTCAATCAACCCGATACATGGGGGTGTTGGATCCCAGCCAGGTGGTGGGGAGGAGATGGCAGGGCAGAGATATTATGAGAGAATCCAAGAGAGCTCAAATCAAAGGATCCAGAGTGCTTTGGATGGGAGCAATCTGCCCACCTTATACCTTCTGAGGGTAAGAGAGACAGATTCTAAGACCAATCTTGCAGAAGAAGGCCCATTTTGTATTGATTGATTCTAACCTAAATATACACCTGAATATAGTTTATTCACTCTACAGGATCTGCCCCAAAATACCAAGAGGAGAGTTAGGAACTTTGAGGAATCACAGAACTAGAAAATCACATTAACAGTGCACATGTCTTCTGACCTCTATCAAAGCAACCTATATACTTCAATGAATCTCTGTTTCTGTTATTTCATTCTTCTTATATCCAAATTCCTAAGACCGCAAGCCAATTAAACAATTAAAACATTTTAATAAAGTTAATATTTATATATTCTAAGTACAGTGGTAAACAAACTGAATTTTCAAAAATACTGGTTGATTGTGACTTATGTTCTTTTAAAAAGTTTATCTGCATTATATTGATGAAATTAAGACTCAGAGAGTTTACCTAGAAGGAAATTTTAACTGAAAACAGTTAGGTTTCACTTCCATTTTTATTATATA